GTTCTCCAATAGGTAAATGAGTAAATGATTAAACACACTGTGGTACATCCATACTGTGGAATACTACTCAGCAATAAAAACTCAACTATTTATATGTACAACAACCTGGATGGATTTTAAGGAACTTATGCTGAACAGAAAAGTTAATCTCATGTATGTGAATACTGAATGATTCCAGTTATAAAACACTTCTGAAATAAAGTTATATAAATAGACAACAGATTAATGCTTTCAAAGGGTTAGGGATGGGAGACAGTGGATACAGAAGGGCAGTGTTAGAGAACCTTGTGGTGATGATATATAGTTTGCATCCTGACTGTGGTGGTATGACCTTAACATGGTAGAGATTGGATTGCATACAATTATGCACACACAAGTTCATGTATAACTGATAAAATATGAATAAGGTCTATGGAGTGTACCATGGTAAATGAACTAGTTTTGATATCATATTATTGTTATGCAACATGTCAACAATGGGGGAGGTTGCATGAAGCAGACACACACTTGTGAATCTATAAATATTTTGTAATTAAAGTTTTTTAAAAAGACATGAATCTGCTATTCTTTAGCAGTCAGAATGTTTGCATTATTCTTTGTTTAAAAAATCCACATGCCTAGAGCAACCACAGATTAAATGAGACAAGTCTGCCTAACATCAGTTCATAAATTAAAGTTTGAGTAGCTCTTATTCACAAAGTATAAATAAAACAGGGGAACTTAGTGCTCACAAGCACCATGTTATTCTTCACCCTGACTGTCCTAACCAAATGATGGCATCCATAAACCAGTAAACCTGACATTTCTGGAGCACTGTGGGCTCAGGATCTCTGCAAAAGCCACCCGGCTTCAATTACTCTGAAATAGAATTTTAAGGACAATAATATGGACACTGAGCCACTCAACTGCCCGCTACATAATAGATGGTTAAGAAGAGTACTCACAAGAAATGAGAAAATAGGGTCTTAGTTCATATTGCCTAAGAGACAAGAGAAATAATGCACAGTTACGCTTTTTAAGTGTTGGAAATATATTTAGGGGACCATAAAATTAAAAATTGACAGTGGAGTATTTATTTCAGAATATCAATATTCAGTCTGCTTTAAGTTTTATTGAACACTTGTGTTGGGCACCTATAGGGTGACTGACTGACTGAAGCTCTGGGTTTGCCAGGGAGCCTGTGGCTTTTGAACTTATGACAATAGTACCACCAGTATGACTCTTATACTATCACTACTACTACTGTTAACTGCTGTTCATTCTGCACGATGTGTTAGGCCTTGTGCTGAGCACTCTACAAATACCTCATTTCATCTTCACAAGAACTTTGTGCGATGGCATTTGTTATCCAGATTTTAAAGATGAAGGAACTGAGATGAGAGATGTCAAGATACCTCTCAAGGTCAGCCACCTAGAAAATGTCAGAATTCACCTCTGAGCTCAAGTAGTCTGATTTCAAACTTCATCCTCTAACTACAAATCCATATGTCGTCCCTAAGGCTTGTTTTCAGTCCTCCTTTCTGGCTGCTTTTTTCTCAGGGTCTCAGTTGCTTTCCACCAGACCTCAGGGGTCTGGACATTTCCTTGACTGCAGGTTTCGTCTGCTCTGCCTGCTTCTCACAACAGATTCCACGTGGAGGATGGAACAGAGCTTAAGAGCCGGTGAGGGCTATCTTCCCCAAGAGCTTTGTGTGAAAAGTTAGGTGATGGGAGCAGATAATGAGAGAGGAGTGTGTATTTGTGTGTGTGAGAGACAGAAAGAGAATTTTTTTTCATTGATTGATTTATAAGGGTAAAACTTCTCAGTAAAGTAATTGAGTCTTTTTCTCAGGCCTTTCAGATTTCTCTATTCCTTCACACCCCATTGGTAGCTTAACCTAGGCTGGCTTCTGTGTAAACAAGATGACCACCATGTTCCAGCTCTCTGGGACTGGGCTGACCTGAGCTGTTCTCACTCAAGGTCTCTCATACATCAGATAGAGGCTGGGTCCCGGGGTCACCTGAAGTCTTCCTTCCTGGAGCCTGAATCTGAAAAGCAGGAAAACCTGGGCCTGGCTGGACTTCTCTCCATATAGCCCCCCACCCAGCTAGCTTTGTCACAGCATGGTGGTCGCAGAGTAGCTGCCTGCCATGCACTGGGGCTGGCTTGTACCAGCTTGTAAGAGCTGCATATCTCTTTCCAACCCACACCCAGGGCTCTCACTCAGGTAGGTTGAAATCAGCCATAGTAGGGAGGAGTATTTTTACCATGGAAAGTGGCAAACGCTACAAATCAGGGCGCCTCCCTCTGCCCCCCGAAGAGCCATTTTACCAGCTCATGACTTTACACGGTGACTGGCCTCCCCCAAAGTGAGTGGGCCAAGAAACCCAGGGGGAAGCTGCAAAGCTGCTGAGAAGCTAGCCAAACATATCCCTGAATGGCACTGTCTTCCAGTGTATTGATCAAAGAAGTCCCTAAGGCGAGCCCTGGTTTAGGAGAAAGAGAATGATCATTCACGTCTCAGGGAAGAGTTGCAAAGAAATTGTATGGCATAGGACCTGGCACGCAGTAGGGATTCAATTACTGCTTGATGAATGAATGAGTGAGTAAAGTCACTTAAACACTCATCTGTGTGCCCTTAAATCACTCTAACAGTATAAAGCCTTCTGGGAAGTTTTAATTCAGCGTCAGAAAGGCCAGGGATTTTTAGGTCCCCGAAGAACCTGAATCTAAAACTGCTTGGTATAAATCTATTTACACTTGCCGGCAGGTTTTCACAGACCAGTTTACTCAAGCCCTCCCTGCCATGTACTCAAATAGTACTGTGCACCTGACAATTGCGGAATGCTTGTTTTACAGTTGTTGTTTTATTTTTGCTATTCAGGTTTGCCCTAAGTAAACTACACATTCCTTGAGAGAGTTCTTATGTATTTCTTTGCCATTCCTCCTTCCTATCAGGCCAAAACCAGATAATCATACACACACACACATGAATACTTATAAGATACATGTTAGTTAAGATTATAAACTTTGAAAGGGACGCAGGAATCTGTAACTGTTGTTTCAGATCCTTCCATAAAAGTTCTCATTTAGCTCTTATATTCACCCAGTGCAATAAGCATTATTATCATTTACATCTCACAGTTGAGGAAAACGAATCTCAAGAAGGTTTTCCGATTTGGTCAAGGCCACAGTAGGCAGTGGAGGAGCTGGGATTTTGACGCGGACCTGCGCTGTCCCAAGGCGTGAGCTTTATACAGCCACCAGGCTGTCTTCCGACTGAAATATCATTCCCCACCTTCCCCTGTTCTCTCTGCCTTCTCCTTGTAGTATCCACAGAAGTCATAAAAATGTTAATGCTTCTAAAGCCCAGAGAGGGTAATAAGTGTTTCAAGTTCTGCTCTGATTTTAAAAATGTCCTTTAAAAGCTTAGGAAGACAAGAAACTGGAAGTGTCTTACACTAATGAGGAGGGGAGTGCACCTGGTAGCAGGGAGGTCAGCTAAGAGGCTGTTGCAGTAATTCAGGCAGAGAGTTTTGGTGGGTTGGACCCAGGTCGTGGTGTGAGATGAAGAGACGTGGAAAATTTTCAAGGATATTCAGAAAACCAAATCACATGATTAGTGATTGGATCATGCAGGTGCTGATCAATCATTGTGGAATCATCCCTCCAGCTGCACGGGGCAGGTAAGACTGGAGAGAGAAAGCCTGCATGGGTGGTTTCTATCTTCCTCCAAGAAGATGATAAAAGGCTTAAACATGGAAAATAGCCATGGAAGTGGGAAAATGGGTGAACTGGAGAGACAGTAATGGATTTGAGGCAGAATATGCTGGATGTGCTGTCAAATTAGATGTGGAGATGTGAGGAAAAAGGAGGGGTCACGGATGAAGCCCAGAAATCTTTCATGGCCAACCTGGCACTTTTTCATGAGCTAGAGGACACAGAATGGGGAGCAGGTTTCAGGTAAGGATGAATTCTGGACGAGCCACGTTTGAGGTGAACGTGTAAGCAGACACTGGCAGCCAGTGTGTATCTGCATTTAACACAAAACCAGCATCTCCTATATAAATGAGGTTCTTTGCTCTGTTCAGAGGTCACAGGTGAATGCACAGGATGCTGCTAGTTGGCAGGATGCTGCGTCGAGTAATAAAGGGCTCGGCAATCTCAGAGTTTTCACTTCACAGTGCCTCAACTTGCTCTCCAAAAGCCACTTATCACCCCATAGGCACCTCTGAAACACCCAGATGTCTTTTTTGAGATTTCCAAAGCTGATGAGAGCTGTATGAGTCAGTCAGCAACAGTGATGCATGTAACTCATAGAAAGTGTGGCAGGGAGATTTCAGCGGTCCCTAGGACCATGGGACTGCCTGCGCACACACACGCGCCAAAACCCAGGCTCATTTCCTTAGAACTTGTGTGGACAGGCAGTAAGACATGTGTGCACACTTCTGCCCCACAGAGTAGCACAGCCATTGTTTACACAAGGTCCCTGCATGTCAGGACAGGGAGCCGGGCCCCTTTGTCTCCTGCCACACTCTTGAGGAAGAAGGGAAGCATTCAAGCCAGCAAACAAGCAAATGAAGGCTCTCCAGAGAGCTGCTGCTTTTCTGCACATCAGTTTTTATCACAAGATCCTAGAAGAGTTCTACCCCAAATGCTAAGCCAATCGTTCGGAAGGCAAAGCGGGTAGGACAGCCCCAGCCCAGAGGAGACCACGGGTAGCTGCTTCACCAATGTGCTCACTATGCAACTATTAGGATAGGCACCAGAAGCAAGTCTGGATTTGATGTCCGTGCCCACCGGGAGCACCCTCACTGCAGCCCCGAGGTTGGGGGGCTCACTCACCCAGCCCAGGGCCCGCCAGCCCAGCAGGTGGACACCAGCTGCCTGGGAACCAGCCAACCCCTTCCCCCAATCGAGTGTCCCTTGACCTGACTCCAACTGTACCCAGAGGTGACCTCTAAGCCCCCTCAGAGCAAGCTTTCCTGAATGGAAACCTACTAAATAGGAGCTTCCTTACCTGAGAGAAGGTCCTGGTGATCAACAGTGGGAAAAATACCAAGTTCTAGCAGAAGTGACAGAGACTTACAGGGCAGATCTGTTGGTTTTAAAAGCAGAAAGGTGACTTCATCTCTGGTGCCGTGGAGTTTAAAAGAGCAATGCGTGCTCCCTGGCTGAGCCAACTGTGCCTCCCCAGCGATGACTCCATCCAAATCAGGCAGCCGCTGCCCAGACATGCACAGCCTTCAGAAGGTGAATCGCTGGAATCTGACCAGCCCTGTTGTTTGCAAAGAGCTTCAGAAAGTCCTGACCACCAATTGCCTGGACTGGCACTGGGGGTTGGGAAACACATACTTACTTGCCTGAGTCATTTCATTATCGCTCAGGAATTCACCTGTCTGAAAAATAACATTTTAGAGAAAGAAAACAGATATTTAAACTTCTGAGAGGTAAAAATTCTTGGGGAAGGAGGGAAGAGAGAAGCAGCAAAGATATTTCAGTCAGGAGGAGGGGCAGTAAGAAGCTGGTGAGTTTGTAAGCATACAAAGGTGGCAAAGAGGTGACCGTCTGGGCAAAAGTATTCAGGAGAGCAAAGGGTTTGAGCCGCCGGAGAGAATGAAAGTGTGACAGCCCTTCTAATGAAGGCAACCGAGTTTTTTTATTTTCATTGAATATGGTACCACCCAAGCAATTTGGCATCATTTGTAACAATATATCAGCTCAAAACATGCCCACATTCCACCAAGATTTTGGAAAAGAGACATTTAAGTTAAGGAATTTTCTCTTTTGTATGTTAAAGATGAGGTTGGAGCAATCAAATCTGTAACCTGGGATTCAAGGTCATGTCAAGCTACTCAGTAAGCCAGGCACCTCTCCTTGATGCCACATACTTGGTCTAAACTCTGGGCAAGACTTAGGGCTGTGGCGCCAGGGCCAGGAATGGTAATGTGTGTGACCTCCACTGGAAGTGGGGCAGAGGGTCGAGCTCAGCAGCCTGCTGACCTTTCTCTCACACCTCTACTTCAGGAGAGTGTGAGGTAACTTTGGGTCACTAGGCATGGGCCTAGTTTCTTGCTAAAGTATTTTGAGGCTCTGGAGAACTTCTTGTGTCCAGAGAGGGTAAAACAAGAAAAAAAATCTCTTTCTGCTTAGATAGAGGTATTCAGGCCCACCATTAGAAAGGGGTTTTTGAACTCAGAGATTTAAGAAATGTCAACATGGCTTATGAAAGGAATGTGAGTCTTCAATGTTAGGACCAGAAAAAAGAGTTGTGAGCCATTTTTATTTGGTTTACCACACAATCCTCCAAATATATACTATCTCTTACAGATAGTAGCACACAGTAGGCATTCAGTAGATAGAGAGTAAATGGTATCAAACGGCCCCTTCCTATCCCAGATTAGCTCTTATGTTTAGGTGTATGGTTCACAAGAAATTGAATTTGTAGATAGCATGATTTAGGACAAAATTAGTTTGCTTGCATATATGTAGTTATTTCAACACCAATTGTTGAAAAGACTTGCCTTTCCCAATTGGGCTGTTCTGACACCTTTGCCAAAAAAAATAAAGCAAATGTATAAGTGTGGGTCTATTTTTGGACTCTATTCTATGCTGTCAGGCCATCTGTTGATCCTTGTCACTACCACACTGTCTTGACTACTGTAGCTTTAGTCTTGAGGTCATGTAAGCACAAGTCTACAACTCTGACTTTTTTTCTCAAGACTTTAAATTCTAACTTCTTTGCTTTTCTATAGGTATTTAGAATCAGTTTGTCAAATTTGGCTAAAATGCATAGTAGGATTATAACTACGATTGTGATGAATCCCTAGATCAATTTGGTAATTGCGACCTTAACAACACTGGAGTCTTTCAATCCATTAACTTGGGATAGCTCTTCATTTATTTATACCTTCAATTTCTCTCAGAATTATTTTGTTGATTTTCTCTTTGTCATTGATTTTCAGCAGTTTGACTATGATATGCCTAAATTTTATTTTTGTTTTGTTTGTTTTGATATTAATTTATCTTGTATGTATCAAAGTTTTTAGAGTCTGTAGATATTTCTTTTACCAAATTTATGAACTTTTCACCCATTACTTATTGAAATACTTTTTGTGTCCTTTCTCTTTCTCCTCTCTTTCTGGGACCTCAATTATATATATCTTAGACCTTTCGATATTGTTGCAAAGATCTGTGAATCTCTGTACATCCATTAAATCTCTGTGCCTCAGTTTGGATAATTTCTGTTGATCTAGCTCCTAGCTCACTAACTTTTTCTTCTTTCATCTTCCTTGTACTCTTAAGCACACTCACTGGATTCTTATTTTAGGTTTTTTTTTTTTTCAGTTCTTACATTTTCACTGGATTCTAGTTTATAGTTTCTATTTATCTGCTAGCATTTTCTTTATTTTCATTCCTTCTGAACATATTTTCTTTTATCTACTAGAGCATAGTTATAATAACTTCTTTAAAATTCTCATCTGCTGATTCCATCATCTAAGCCATCTCAGATCTCCACTGATCATCTTTTCTCTTTAAAATGAGTCATATTCCTGTTTTTATGTATGTTCAATAATTTTGGAGGGTGTCTGGTCATTATGAATGATATATTGTAGAAAACCTGGGTTCTGTTATGTTTTTCTCATGTGTGTCAACTGTTTTTTATTCAGGTCTTTAAAGTGGCTGAATTCAAATTGCAAAAGCTTATCTCCCCTGTAGGAGCTGGAATTTCAGTTCAGCTCTTTCAGCTGTAACCTGGTTCCTTCAAGTCCACCACTAGCACCAGAGATCTGGACACAGTTTATCCATAGAGCTGAGGCTTTCCTACCTGCCCTGCATAAAACAGACAGGGCCCTGTTCTTAGGTTAAAAGCTGTAAGTCAAGAAACTCACCCCATGCCCTTCTCTTCTTCCAGTGGTTCAGTCTCCTCTGGTTTTTTCTGCTTTTGTTCTCTCTCTAGTACCTTCAACTAGCTATTCTTATATTTTTCCCAGAGTTTATGACTGTGATCTATAAGAGGTGTGCTCCAATAGGAGCTAGTTGGCTCTAGCAGAGGGTCTCAATTGCCTTTGGGTCACCTAGTCTACCTTCAACGAGATAATTCATCATTGTCTCCTGGGATACTACATATGTTTCATTCCAAACACCACCTTGGATTGATTGGTACTGTTGAAAAGCATACTGAGCTTCAGAGAAAAGGTTAACATAATCAAAAGCAATGTTTGCCTTGGACACAGGAGGGGGAGTATAAGCCAGATATTGGCAATTTCTGTTATGGTCATTGACAAAACAATGTGTAATACTCAGAAGTTTTTCCTTCTAAAACTGAAGTCATAATACTGTGTTTACTTGTTTGCCAGTTAATCTTCTCCATTAGCTCTAAGGTTCATGAGAGTGAGGTGTTGTGCTTGTGATATTCACTTTTATACGTCCAGTGTGTATCATGTGGAATACGCAATAAATATTTGGTGAATGAGTGAGGATAGTATCTGATTAGGACTCCACCTGGTCCAAGTTACCATCAGTGATCCATCTCTGAAAAAGTAGATAATTTAGGAATATCCAATTCATTTTAATTTATTTTTAGTTTTACTTTTTAAAATGATATAGACAATATGAAGAAACAAATAGAGAATGCAGATTAGCAAAAGTAAAATAAATCAAATCACTTCATTTTTTTCCCTCCCAGACATAATCATTATAACGATTTTTTCACATAGCTTTTTGTCATCCTTCAAATTTTTATTCTCAACTTTGGATGCATATTAGAATTATCTGAGCAGCTTTGAAAGTCTGTTCATGCCACACCCTAAACCCATTAAATCACATTCTCAGGGATTGGGACCCAGGTTTAGTATTTTTTTTTTAATCCCAAGATGATGCCAATTTGCAGTCAGGAGGACCTAAAGATGCCCCAGCCAGGACTCAATGTTTTTTTCTATCTCTACATGACATAGTCCTAGCATTCCAGGAGAGTTCAAAGGAGGCAGGATTTGAAGCATTTGGACATGAAACAGTTAGAAATCAAAAGGACAGTAAACATACACAGTCACATGCTAAATTGCACAGAAGCTGCGAATTAAGTGTGCCTAGGCAGATGCCCGTCATGCAGGCAGGAGCGGCTCCTCATGCTTCCTATGGTGGAACCTTGCCAGTTACCTTGAGGGGGTCTCCCCCCTCTCTAAAGGTCCGGAGAAAGGGCACAGTTACTTGCTAGAATGAGAGACGAGGCTGGTTCTACTACTCCCTTCTTTGAAAACTTCTGCTTTGTAGAACCCGAAGTCCCCAGTTCCCAGCCTCTGCTGTTTTAATTCTGTCCTGACTTTCAGGATTTGAGAAGACCACCCTCAACCGGAGAATCTTCTGTGGAAATGCGCCATTGCTGACCAGGTGGCCTGCCTGTCTGGTGTGGAACCGAGGCGAGTTGGTATCCCCTGGTATCACATCACCACCACTGTATTTCTCCAGTTGCCCCAGAGGAACTGATCAGCAACAAAGCACAGTCTAGTTCTTGACCCAGGCCGCACAACAGAAGCCTCCAGGAGATTGTAAAATACCTATTCTCAGGCCCTGCCCCATAACAATGAACACAGAACCTCTGGGTGACAGTGCCCAAGAAATGGTATTTTCTTCAAGGCTCCCAGGAAATTAGAAGAGGTGAGAAGTATCAGTGAAGTAACTTGGTGGTCCATCCTCATGGCTTGTGGGTGGATTTGAAACCTCCCTTCTTGCTATTCTTGGAGGCAACATAGAGGAAACTACCAGGCCTTGTGTTAAACCGACCAGGGTTTGAATCCCTGCTTTGCTACCTGCATTGCATGACATTGGCTAAGTTACTGAACATCTCTGACATTCCATTTCGCTAGCAAGGAAGAGGCAAAATAATAGAACCTACTACTGAGACTCAGTGACACGCCATCTATAAAGCCACTAACTGGCACATAAATGTGTGCCTAATAAGCACCCACTCCCTTCCCTCCCTGCCTGAACTCAGCATCGCAGTGAAAGTGCTGGGTGGCTCTGGCTCGGTTTTGTGCTTTCTCCTTGATCTGACCGTGGCCATAGCAGCCTGCATTTGCAGGCCTGGCCCCTGGATCTGGCACTCTGATCCCAGCTGCTGAACCCGCTCCGCCTCTTCTTTCCTGCCCAGTTTCCACCACCTGCTTCTGTCACTC